AAAAACTGTTTATTTCAGCTAGGATAGCAGGTTCTTTTATACATTTTTCAGATACAAAAATTATTATAGTATTACTAGCTAATACTTTCTAATATACAAGATATAATTAAAGTACTGTAATATAAATAATTATGAGTAGATTACATCAAAGTATGTTAAAAGACATCAAAGAATATTGAAGAACATCAAAGTATATGAAAGGACATTAAAAGATATAAAAAGACATGAGAAGATGTGGGAAGATATTGAAAAATGTGAAAAGATTTAAAAGAACATGAGAGAATATCAAAGGATATCAAAGAATGTGGAAAGATATTTGAGATCATTATCCAAGTGTAACTATTTCACCAAAATTAAAAATAATCTTCTACTATACTATTCTACTATATATATAAATATCACAATACAAAATAATAAAAATATAGATCTCAAATATTAAATAAAATATAATGTTAAAAATAGAAATGTGATAATAATTATAGTAATAAATGATATAGAAAATAGTGATAATTATAAAATAAATAAAATTATAATAAAATATAGTTTTTCATAACTAGAGAAAGATTAAGAAATTAAGGAATTTTATATTACTATGATAATAGTATATTTACAACTTTAAAATATTATTAAAGTATTATAGAATTATAATTAAATTTATAATTAATATATCAATTAAATTATTTAAAATATATATTTTTTTAAGATTAATTAATTAATTAAAAATTTAAAATTTAAAAAACTATAAAATTAAAAAATTTATATTATTATAGTAATATTTAATTTCTTTAATTAAGATCAAGTTCTAGTAAGATTAATTAAATTCTTTTTAAAATTTTTTTAATTTTATTATTTCTAATATATATAAGATTATCATAAGTAATTTATTAGAAATTATAAATCTTTTCAAGTCTATATTTAATAATAACTGCTAAATTTATTTTTTAATAGAATATATCTTCTAATTAAAGTTATTTTTTTTAATTAAGCTAGTTCTTTTTATAAAATTAAAGTCTTTAGAAATATTATTTTGATATTTCTTTTAATAATTATTCAAAATAATAATATTTAATAAATTGTAATTTATCAAATGGATTATCTCTATTTTCAAATAAATTATTAAAAATTATTTAAATTCTTATTTTTCAGCTTTATTCAGATTAAAATTAATAATTAATATTGATTAAAATTATTATTCTTGAAAATTTAATATTAATAATATTTATAATTTATTTTACTCTTATATTATCTTATAATTTATCCAAGATTTCTTTTATAATTGATTCTAATTCTTAAAATATCTCTAGAACTGAGCTAAAGTTGAGCTATTTTTATAAAGATAATTATTTGCAGATATATGAATATTTATTATATAGATAAATTAAGTTTTTATTAGTAATAAAGTAATAAATTTAAAATTTTATTTTTAGAATTTTAAATTATATAAATATATTTAATAATATAAATCTTTTAATATATAAATTATATAAATATATTTAATAATATAAATTTATTAATATATAAATTTATAATAAAAAATAAATATATTATTGAATAATTATTTTTAATAAGCAAATATATATTTTTAGTTTTATAAATAAGTTTTTATTAATAAATAATATTTTAAAAAAATACAAAACTTTAAAATTCTATATTATTTAAAAAATAATTTTATAAGAATATTTAAATTTATAATATAATTACTTAATTATATTAATATTATAAGTTTAAAAAAAATTATCATGAATTTTATATTTAAAACAAATTAAAAATACTTGAGTTCTTATTATAAATATTAATTATAATTAAAAATAATATTGCAACTTGATCATAATTTTTTGATTGGCTATTATAATTAATTACAATTTTCTAATTAATTATTACAAGTTATAATTAATTAAGATAATATATTTAATTATAATAAATATGAAATATTAATAATATATTTATATTTTTTGATATATAATAATATAAAAAAATATATTAAAATTTAAATAATTAAATTTAATATATATATATAAGTATTATATAAGTTTTTATTAGTATTTAATAAGAAAAATTATTATTAATCTTTTTTTTACTACAGTACAAAATAGCATAAGATATTCAATTTATTATATGAAATATTAAATTTTAATTCTAATTCTAGTATTATATAGTGATATAACTAATTATGTAACTAATAATAAATCAATACTAATCTTTATAATAAGACTAGCAGAAGTTAAATTATCATATTATTTAATTAATACCTGTTAGTCTATATATAAATAAAGCAAGTAAATAATATCTTTTATAATAAAATAAGAATAATCATATCAAAAAATAAAAATATCTATTATTATAATATATATTCTTAATATTTATTAATCAGATATAGCAAAATATATTCTTCACTTTTCATTATACCTATTTTTTTTATTAATTTAATAACTTATTAATCTGATTCATAATCTCTTTGTTAATTAATCTATATCTCTTATACTTTCTGATTATAATCCTCTAATATAGTCAAACTCCTTTATAAGAACATACTATATAAGAATATTTATTTATAAGAATCTTATTTCTAAAAATAAATTAATTTTATATATAATTTAACTCTATATAAGAATATTTTAATAATAAGAATATAGAATATATTGTTCAGTCCCAGTTCTAATTAGCCTTTCTCTTAGTAAGAACATAGTACATGATATTATAATTTATAAGAATATAAATATATTGTTCAGTTTCAGTTCTAATTAGTTTCTCTTTGAATAAGAATATAATACGTGATATTAATTATGATTAGCCAATCATATTTATTAGTGATTTATCATATTCTTCCAGAAATAAGCACTACTTGAGAATAATGAATAAATAAGAGTCACGCATCTCATATATAAAGATTATTCAGAAATAATCATCATCTTCATTTATTATGTTGATTGAGTAATGCTTATTCTTGGATAAATCCTGATAGATATTTTAGAAATTCTATTTTTGAGTCCAAAAAGTGGTGCTTATTTCTGGAAGAATATAGTAGTTATAAATCATAAGATAACAAATCAGTAAAAAATTATCCTTACTACTTGCAAGACTCTTTATTAGAACTTTTTTATATAGTATACTTTAAATCTCTTCAATTGCTTATTTTATTTTAATTGCTAATAATTTCTTATATCCTTGCTCTATTTTTACTTTATCCCTGTTCTTAAATAATTTTATTTATCCATTCCTAACTAAAATACTTCATTGCTATATTTTTACCTTTTTCTTTGATCTTCCTATTATAATATGCCATCTAAAGATCTAATTTACAAGAAAAAAATGTGCAGTACTTAATGATACTGTGTGCAAAGAAATAAGCTTATTCTGGATCAAAGCATCACTAGATACTCGTCATGAGGATATAATTAACCATTTTAATAAAAAATATTCTGGTTTCAATATTATATGGCCAACTGTTACAAAAATATTAAAAAAGTCAGACTACTGGTGCAATATTAACTTGGATAAAATATCAGAAATAACTTACAAGCACCATCCACCAAAATTTCTCTTATTAAAAAGAGCCTTGAATTTTTAGATTGATCAAGTATCTGCTATGGGATTAATTTTAATTGAGATACTTCTTAAAGAAAAGACTGTATATTTTACCACTCTTTTTGGATTTGGTAAGGATATTCTTCAATGATCAAATAGTTAGATGAGAAGATTTAAAGTGCGTAATAATATAAAAGCTTTCCAGCTTCATGATGAAGTTAATTTAGCATTAATTGAAAATTTACCTAAAGAAAGAAGAAAACTAAGTGAGTTGTTATTACAATATAGAACTAAAGATATTTATAATACAGATGAAACTGGTTTATTTTATTGGATGATTCTAAATCAAACTCTTGTAAAGTACCAGATTGCTGGCAAAAAAATAGTAAGTTTTTAAAGTTCTTTTATTTATGCTAATGTTTTCTCTTACTAATATATTAATTATATTTAGGATAAAATATGAATTACTATTTTATTAGTTACAAATACCACTGGAACTTACAAACTCAAACCTCTCATAATTAGTACTGCCAAATCTCTATATTTATTCAAGAGAATTAATATTTTCTTATTACCTATTGTGTACTAATATAACTCAAATATATGGATATGTAGAGAAATCTGAAAAAGTTAGTTAAAATATATTGATGAGAGTTTTTGAATCCAGTAATAATATGTGCTTCTGCTTGTTGATAATACTTTATCATATAATATAATTATGAATGCAAATGAATCAAGTAGTAATGTAAATAATTTATCTAAGATAATGGAAGAAGATAATGTTAATTTATCAAGTGAAGAAGAAAATAAACCAATTGCAGAAAGTTCTACTAGTGGTCACAGAAAGTGAGGTTGGTCACAAGGATAAGTGGCTACAAAAAGCAAAAAAAAGGCAAGAAAGCTCAGGTTATAACTGAAAATTCTTCTCAGCTATCACTCTATCTTACAAATGTCTATATTCATTACCTTCTGCCAAATACAACTGCTCACTTACAACTGCTTGATGCAGAAATTATCAAGTCCTTTAAAGTGTACTATCATTAGTATTATTGCTATTATGTTCTAGACCAATTTGAGTATAAAATTGACATTGCAAAGTATGTTCTATAACAATTTTAATAAAAAATTGAAAAATTAGCAGACAAATCAATTGTGATCTGTCTGACTTTATCATTTATTAATTTCTTGTTTCTGACTTATTTTCTACTATTTTTCTTCATCTATTCCACTATTCCTTTTCTCCTACTTCACTATCCTCTTCTTCCACATTACCATTCTCTTCTCTCACTCCACTATTCTTTAACTTATCACTTTTTTTCTATGTTTTTAGGAATAAATTGAATATAAAATAAGTGATTAATTATATTTCTCACACTTAGAATTAGGTTACATAAGAAATAATATGAAATTACTGGAATTCAATAGGAATTCTTCCTGAAACTGACATTATAAATACTCAAGCAAATGATATGTTAAATAAAGCTTTAAACACGTAAAATAAGATTCTGAATTCTTTATATTATCTTGATATTACTGATCAAGCTGTTCAATATCTTGTTCAAGATATAGAAGTATATATTAATATTATTGAAGAGCCTGTTATAACAGAAGAATTGCTTGAGGATAGTGAAATTATTAATATGCTTCAGACTGATGATATGATAAAAAATGACATACTTAATTTAGATAAGGAAAATAAAGAACCTCCACCATCTCTCATATTCATAATGGAAGTGAGTAATATATTAAAAATTCTTATCACATTTTATAAACAAACAGAAACTGTATTTAGTAATAATAAGATAAAAATATTATGCAAAAAGATATCAATTTTTGAAGTGATGAAAATTGAAGCGAAAAAACAGATAAGTTTGGATACTTGGTGAGTTTAAATAATAATTTTTGTATGAAAATATGTTAGCAAGTTTTTTTATTAATAAAACTCCTATATAAGAACTTTACCTAATACTATATATATAATGTTCTTATAAAGAGGTTTTTTATTTATAAGAATACCTTTATATAAGAACCCAATTTTCTGGCCCAATCATATTCTTATAAAGAGGATTGACTGTATATCTCAATATAATTAAATTCAGAATGAAACTTAAAATAGAATATAATCTAAGAATAAATAATATTATCAAGATTAAACTAGTTAAAAAAGAATAACTAAAGATAATAAAATTATCTTATATTTACAAGATTCAATTTTTTGTTGAATTTGACTATATTATACAAGAAAATCTGGCTAATTAATTATTAAATAACATATATAATAATCAATAACACTAAGATTTATCTCTTTCTCTTGTATAAAGTATATTCTAGCACTATTTTTTCTTGTTATAATTCTCTTTTACTAAGAATTTATTGAATTTTTTTAGACTAAACATATAAATTAATATTAGATTTTGTCTTTTTGTTATAAATAAAGTAATTTTCTTTAATAATCATTAATTGATAGCTGTTACTCTATATCATATCTCATATTTTTAAAACTAATCCTCCTAAACTAAGATTTATTTTTGAAACTACAAGAATATCTTTAGCAAAAGTTATATGAAAAATAGTATTATTAAAGATAAACATATTCACATTCTCCAAATATGTTTATTCAAAGATATTTATTATCTATATAACTTGTTCAAGAAGTTTTGTGAAGTCTCAAAATTTGTTTTAGTTAGTACTAAGTATTATTATTATATATATTTCTTTCTATTTATCTTTAAGTAATCCTATTATCTCTATTAAAAAATTACTTATATATATATTAAAATTTAATTCTTTTTTTTATAATGATTATTTTTCTTTAGAATCTCATATAATATATAATCTATTATAAATATAGAAGATTGATTTATTATAAGTTATTTATATATACTCTTTTTTATTATTATTCAAATATAAAATTTTTTATTTTATAATCTTTATCAAGTTAATCAAGTTTAATAAATTCTTAAAGAAAAATTTAATAATAAATAATAATATTAGGCTATTTATATCCATTTATCTAGATATCTTTTTGAAGATATTAATTGAAAATCAAGTTTATATATTTATTTAAGCAGTTTAGATCAAGATATATTAGACAGATTCAATATTTAATTAAGAAAGAATATATTACTTAAAATATTTCTTGATTATTATTAGATTTATCTTGAACTTTTAAATATGTAGATAAGTAGTTAATTAAAGAGAAATTAGCTTATTATAAAGTAGACTTTTAGAAAAAAATCTCTTTTGAATAATCCGCTAGATTAATTTCTCTTTTATATAAATATTTATTTACTTTCTTATATATTTTACAAGTTATAGTCTATTATTAATTATCTCTAAAACTATTTTTACTATCTCAATTTTCTTTTTATTATTAAGTTACAATCAGAAAAAATAAAAAATAGCCATATAATAAGTAATTTAAGTTTTAGAAAGTATTTTATCAAGTATTATTCTATTTATAAATTTAATTATTTTGTATATATTTTCATCTTTAATCAACTCTGATTTAATACTATTATTACTTCTGATATTTTTACTAATAATATAGAAGAATTATGAAATTTTTAAACTTTCTGCTACTATTTCTCTTAAATTTTTATTTTTTCTTTGTTATATTCATTTTAAATTATCAGTATAAATAGCTAAATATCCTTTTTTCTCAAAGCTTACTATTACTACTTATAACAATTTTAATTCAGTTATCTCTTTTTAGATCTCTTTTAGCTTAAATCTTTATTTTACACTATCTGTATAACAGATTAGCTTTATATTAATTATATTTTTAAAAAGATCATTTTTACTCTAGATATACAGATGATCATTATATATTAAATACATCTAGATTTAGCATATTGTTACTTAGATGATTACTATATATATCACAATTATAAATTTAGATTATTAATATTTTTAATTACATTATTATTAATTATTTCTTTATATTTTTATTTGTTCTTTTTCTTATTTATTTATATTATTATTTATAATTATTTATCATATTATTAATTATTGGATTATGATTAGTTGCCCTCTGAAGACACAAATTAAGTTAATTAATTCTGTTCAACTCATATATAATTTAAATTAGAAATTCATATTAATTTATTCATATTTTATATTCATTTCTTTCTTATAAATAAGACCTTTCTGTTCTATATTTTTAGTCTTAGATCTGAATACTTTTAAATAATAAAAATAATCATAAGTTATAAAATTAAAACTTATTCATATTGTATTTTATTTTATTTACAATCATTAATAAAATAATCTTGCAATAACTTATATTTTTTAAATATAACAAATCTTTTTTTAACTTAAAATATTTTATCTTGATCTGTTACTTAAATATAGTATTATTAAAGTTTTTCAAGACTTTATATATTTATCAAAATATTTATCTTCATTATTAACTCTTCTTTGTTAACTAAATTATTAATAATAATTATTATATTTATCAGATATAATTGATAAAAGAGTGCATTTATAATAATATTATCTTTGTCAAATTTATATTTTATTTCAAAATTACTAGTTTATAAAGTTTCTAATTAGTAAGCCTATCTTTTAGAAAGATTATATTGAATTTTGATATATATTAAGAAGATATAGTTTATAATTACTAATCTTTTAAATATAGCTTCTAGAGCCTAATAATATATATAATTATAAGTAATTCTTTTTTATATATCAGATAATTTTATTCAGCTGATAATAACTTTCTTGATTCAAAAGTATTAATTAATTATTCTTGTCTTGATTTTAACTTGATATAGCTTTAATAGTAAAATCTGAAGTATCTGTAATAATTATGAATAATAATTTTGAATCAAATAATAACAAGACTAATATTAATATAAGATATTATTTAAGTAATTCAAAAGCTTATTATTTTATAATAAATTATTTATATTTTTTATCTTTGTGAAAAAGTATTATAAATGGTGATATTGTGGCTAAAAATTTTTTGATAAACTTTTTATAATAATTTGCAAGTTCTAGAAAAGGATTTTGATATATTTATAAGTACTAATTAATCTTTAATTGCAATTATTTTTCTTTAATTAATAATAATATTATCTACTACTATAAAATATTCAAGATATTATTATTATAGTAATATAAAATTTTTTAATTTTATAATTTATTTATAATTTTATAATTTATTATATAATTACTCTTATTTTTATCTAATCATATATTTATTTTTTTTATTATATTTATCTCTTAAATTATATTTTTATCTTAATTATTATATCTTATTCTCCTAATTTGAGATTTATATTTTCAATTTATATTTTATATATACTTAATTTAGTATTTAATAAAGTAATATAATTAAAAACTCTTTTAATTTTAATAAAATAATAAAATACTAATATTTGAAGAAATTATAAAATATTAATATTTGATAAAATAATAAAATCTTAGCATTCTGAAAATACTTGTATTCAAAAAATATTAGTATTTTAAAAATATCAGTATTCTAGCATATTAAATTGATTATAAATCTTTATAATTTATATATTTTAAATATTAATAAATATTTTTATAGTGAATCTGATAAGTGAGTTTTTACTTGAATTTATCTTAATGATATTAAATTAAAAAAGACTAAATTAATTATAGAATAAAAAAAGAAGAATTAAATTATAACTTTTAATAATAATAAAAATTTCTAAGAACTATACAAATATCTATAGATATTATCTTAACAAAAAAATAATTAAATAATAAAAAAATAAAATAAATCAAGAAAATTATAAAGATTAATTAGTAAAGTTACTAGAAATCAATATAATTCAAAACTTAAAATAATTAAATAATAAAACTACTATAACAAATTTAATTTTCTCTTGCAAATTATTATTATATTACATACTATACTATATGTGATACTATATTACAAAAATCACCTTATAAAGTTATATAGTATATTTAAGCTATTTTAGCTATAAATAGTTTTCTTAGTAGAATTTCTCTTTTCTCTTATTCTACTAATTTAGCTAGTATATTACTATATTTATATATTTTATTTATAATTATTTATTTTTTTATTAATTTATTAATAAATATCTTTCAGAGATACTACTATATAAGTATTATTTATTATTAATTTATTTATTATATTATTAATTCTATATAATATTAAATTATTATTTAAAGATACTATTTCTGTTCTGTATTTTTAAAATAATCATATAACAATGATATAATAAAAAATAAATTTTTAAATATAATAATCTTGACTATCTTGAATTAGTTTTCTATATAAATTCTATTTCAACTAACATCATTATATATCTTGAATCTTTTATATAAAATTTTCCTAATATATTATATAATATAACTAGAAAGATTACAACTTTGATAATAATGAAAAAATTAATATTATATATATATATATATACACATATACTTACTATTAACTTCTCTTTTCCTATATACTTTCTCACTTATACTCAAATATTATATATTTGTATATATATACATATATCTTTATAATATCTGATTCTGATCTCTCAAGTAAATAATTTCAATAACTTCTTACTGATCTTATTAGTCTTATTCAATAATAATAATAACTTACTACTACTCTTAGTAATAATAATAGTAATAATATAATAATAATAATGGTTAACAAAATTCTAACTCTCTTACATTAAGAATTTCACTTAAGATTCCTATATACAAAGAAGAATCTTATGAAAATATTAATATTTGAATATTATAAGTAACTAAAGTATTATATATATGAGAAATCACAGATAAATAAACTTGCATCTTGTATACTAAAACTGATCTTGAAGATGCCACTCTTTATTGATATTTGAATATAGTATATACTACTAGAGAAAATTATACTTTTGAAAATTGAGAGTCTTTT